TTTTTTTCTGGTCTGTTCATTATTGATTTCCCTATCTACCTCCCACCTACCCAAAGCTAAACTTCTTTAGGATGCTGAAGCCATTATAATTATACCCAAATTCAGGGCTTTAGGAACCTACCTGGGTCTTTCTCAGAATCATACAGATTCTCTTGGTTTGGCTGCTTGGAACCAGAGGCCACTGTGTCTGTCGTTTTGTAAGCTTTCCATTGCCATTTTAATAGGTATCTGTCCTATTTGCTTTTAGAGTACGCATCTCTTGAGGGCAGTGAGATTGTCAGCTTTCCCGGTGAAACGTGGAGCCGCCAGTCTGTAGCCCCATATTGATTAGAAATTCTCCCCACTGCCTGGTTGGGGTGGGGGGGGCACACCAAGGTGGGACAGGTGAAGGGCATAGTCAAACTGCCTCTAGCAGTTTTAGAGACATTTAATTTCCAATATGATTCAACATACCTGTTATGTTGATTTTCTACTTTGATGCCTGGTATTATCTGCATAATAGTTTTGAAGACTGTTTGATAAGTTCCTAAGTGGTGTGTCACTTGCCTTTAAATTAGGATCAGATCTGGCTGTGATTTGATTGTGAATACTTATCCCATTTAAAATATTTTGCAAAATTGTATAGGACATCCTGTAGAGACCAGAATGCTCTGTGGGCAATATATATTGATATAAGTGTATACCGACATATATGCATGTGCATGTATTCATAGTAGTTGCTCTATAGATTTTTTTTTTTTGAATTTTGCTTTCAATTGTCTTAGTTTGCAGTTTTTTTCCATTTATCTATTTATTTTATTGATACAGACTCACTTTGTGACCCTCAGTAGAGTGCTGTGGCATCACACAGCAACCTCCAACTCTTGGGCTTAAGCAATTCTCTTGCTTCAGCCTCCCAAGTAGCTGGGACTACAGGCATCTGCTGCAATGCCCAGCTTCTTTTTTTGTAGAGACGGGGTCTCACTCTGGCTTAGGCTGGTCTCCAACCTCTGAGCTCAGGGCCTCCCAGAGTGTTAGGATTACAGGCATGAGCCACCTTGCCCAGCCCGCTCCATAGATTTTTGTTGAATGAATAGAGAAAAAAATTTTTTGGTCATACACAAATCCTGTTATTTGCTTTTCCAGGAAAAATGCAGGATGGCTTATTTTCAGGGATTTTTCCTTTTCTTGCTCCATCTTTTCACATGACAGGAGTGTAGTACACAGAACAGTGTAGCTTATGGTTACAAGCAGAGGCTGTGGCCTTTGGGAGCCCTGGATGTGAGCTGCCTCTCTGCCACATGCGGGGTATGTCCTTAGTGTCTCTGAGTCATACAGAGAGTTATTAGATTTAAGTAGAGGTGAAGAGCATCTAGCCTAGAGATGAGTACATGAGATTAACTTCGGGCACATAAAATTGAGGATATGTGAACACCTAGAAATGGTACACACCATTTTATGTGCATTCTAATGTTTGTATGTGTATAGCTATAATCTGATTTTCTAAGAAAATGGCAACCCACGAAAGACAGGAACTGCTGACTTGAAGTGTTTGATGCCTGAGGCAATGAGGAGGTTGGAAGGGGTCATAGTTGCTGGCCAGTTCAGGGCCTTGTTCAGGTTAGCACTCCTCGAGTCCTCTACTCCTCTACTTCTCTACTTCCCAGTTTCCTTTCCACAGACAGGCTGTTCACCTGGCCTGGGAGGAGAATGGTTCCAAGTCCTTGTGACCTCAGCTAAGGATACATTTCCTGGAGCCCAAAGGTTCTGAGATGCTCCTCTTTGGGCACTTTGTTTAACAAACATGTCATCCTTGCAATGGACCAGCGTCGCTGTTCTAAAGCCTCTTGAAAGTATGGACTCAGTGACCTTCACTACAAGCCTGTAAGGGAGATGCGTAATTATTCATAGTTCATTTTACATATGGGTAAACCGAGGCACAGCCGCTTAGTCAGTTTCTTAAGCTCACCTTGCTATGAAGTGGCATTCCCAGGCTCACATACAAGCCCTAACAGTTCATGGTCTTACCTTAACGGCTGTCCTAAATAGTCTCTCCTGGTTTAATTATTTCAGTTTCCGTTCTTTTTAGATGTGCACTAAGGGTGGCACTTCCCGAGGCTTTTCAAGAACAGCAGAGGGACATTTTTGCAGCCATAACTTAGAAGTTGGACAAAATGATTGGGGACAGGCAGTTTCAATTTTCCTTCTGGTGCTGGAGTTCCCTGAACCAGTTTTCAACTTGGACTGGAAGCTCCTCAGATGGCCTGGGCCTTTGGGTCTGGAGGAGTTACATTTTTGTAACAAACAGCAACTTTGATGTGGTTTGAGGATTGTGTCTGCCAGTTCCTTCCAACTAACAACTAGATGTATTTTGATGAAGTACGCTTGTACTTGCATGATGGGAAACAATGATGGTTGGCCGAGGAGGGGTGACTTACCACGGTGCTCTCCAGTGGGATCCTAGTAAGGGCCAGAGCCTGGAACATCCAGCCCCAGCTGGGAAACAAGTCTTCGGGCCTCCATCTCAAACAGAAGGGCCTCAGCCTGGCTGAGAAGGCCCTTCACCCATTCCCTGGGGTGTGACAGGAGAGACTGTTCTCTAGACGCTAGGAGAGAAAGGGGACTCTGAGAAAGTTCTGTGGAGCTAAAGGGGGAGGGCGTGGGGGGAACGCTTCGAAAATCCTTAACTAAATGCAGCTGCTTGTTACACGGAGCCTGACTTGCATGCCAGGAATATCTAAAAAGCTAACGAATACAAAATAAAAATAAACAGCAGTAAAAAGGCTCTCTCTTTGTTGCAGTAAGCTCGGTTGGGGTTTTCAGTTTGTTTAGGAATGGGGTAATTGTGGCATCTACTTTATTTTGGTAAGGCAGTGAAACGTGGATTGATGTTATATCATCGGGATGCTACCACCACCTGAACTTTTTCCCTCACCCCCTTCTTTGCCCCCCAC